CCGGACTACCGTAATGCGCATGACGAGGCATGTGCGTAAGTCCCGTAGAATCGTTAAATGCCTAAGTTCGTCGAAGGCCTTCTTTTACCGTAGCCGGACGTGCATTGTGCCTGGACAGTGGTCATGGGACCACTAGCCCGAGGTAGTGCCAAAGTACGTCGGTGGCCTTCGTTTCCCGTAGCCGGATTCCCGTAATGCGCATTACAAGGCATGTGTGTAAGTCCCGTAGAATCGTTAAATGCCTAAGTTCGTCGAATGCCTTCGTTTGCCGTAAGCATAGAATTTACAGTTTAGCTAACTCCACTGTAAATTGATGAGATCTCAAAGTCAGTCTAATACTGTGCAAAAAGTCTACGTACCATAGTGAAGAGCTCATTCGAACAATTACCATGAAAGTATTTATAGAAAAGGCACAGTGAGGCAACTTTATAGCGGTGGGAAAGTGACTGCAGCCGAGACACCAGATCAGGACCAATATTATCGCCAATTCTTCTTTGGCTCTTATCAAGGAGCTCCAGGTAAATAGCAGGGGCACCAGACAACCGTAGATTAAATAAAGTGTTCAGTCCTTAATTCCCTGTAGGTAGTCAGGTCGATGTGGGACGAGGTCAGTATACCCCCCGTAGATTAAATAAAGGGTTCAGTCCATAATTCCTTATAGGTAGTCAGGCCGATGTGGGACGAGGTCAGTGTACCTCCCGTAGATTAAATAAAGTCTTCCGTCCTTAATACCCTATAGGTAGTCAGATCGATATGGGACGAGGTCAGTATACCCCACGTAGATTAAATAAAGGGTTTAGTCCTTAATTCCTTGTAGGTAGTCAAATCGATGTGGGACAAGGTCAGTATACCCCACGTAGATTAAATAAAGGGTTCCGTCCTTAATTTCTTGTAGATAGTCAGGTCGATGTGGGACGCGGTCAGTATACCCCCCGTAGATTAAATAAAGTGTTCAGTCCTTAATTCCCTGTAGGTAGTCAGGTCGATGTGGGACGAGGTCAGTGTAACCCCCGTAGATTAAATAAAGAGTTCAGTTCGTAATTCCTAGTAGGTTACCCAGATCGATATATACACCTGATGAAGGTCGGAATGTACCACGGTCGAAACGTTGTGATAACGGCAACAAAGATTTGCGCAATAGTCCGAATTTATACTGTGTATATAATGATTTTTTAAAGGAAAAACCTACAAATTTTTCGTTTATTTCTTGAAGCGGGCGTTATTTAAATGCACATCTTCAAAAACAGACGGCCGTACATCAGTGTTTTCTTACTTTTGCTCTCCCGACACCCTCAGTGTCCTCTTCCAGATATTTGCGCGGGTTGGCGCCTATAATAAAATTGCACTGGGAAATGTAGAAGAATAAATACCAGGGAATTAACGTCACGTGTTTATGTTCTCACTGCATTATAACAGCTCCAACCACCGAACGTAGATTGTGGCGGAAACAGCTAAGTGGCTGTTAGTAGATCAAACCGCAGAAGCAGCCGCGCAGTAAGCTGCATCTTTTTTTGCTCCATGCACATTGCAGCTGCATTTAAAATACGCCTAAATGTATAAAATATATAAGGCAGAGATAAACAAGAGTTCGCTTAAAATGTTCAGGCTCGTCTCGGTCAAAGTTCAAAGGGTTGCATCAGCTTACTACCTGTTAAAATTATAGCACACCCATAAAATCATATGAAGACTTAATGGAGAGAGTTCATTACGACCTTATTTCTCATGGTGAGAATCATTGATTTGGACCGATCTGGTGTTCGTAATCGATAATAATATATGAAAAAAAAAACCCCAAAAAAAACAGCCCTAGATAGAGAAAATAACATTTTCAGTAGCAGAGGTCAATTACGAAATCTGACATCACGCACCAACTTTATAAGTAACTTGGGCATTGAAAAATGTTCGTGAGTTGATTTATAGCATCAACTGAAGCATCAACATTGTCTCCACGCTAAAAGTATCACCGCAAATAAACTCCTCCTCCTATCTGGAGATGTCTTAGAAAATGCCAAGCACGAGATAACTCGTGGTCGGCGCGAGATAACTCATGGTCGGCGCAAGATAACTCGGGGTCGGCGTCATAATAAAAATTGCCAAGCAACATTTATCTCGTCGTTGGCAGTCAATGTTTAAAAAAAAAAATTTTTTTTTTGAAATTTCAAGAAATTAAGTCACACGAGCACATTTGCTTTAGCTTTTCGAAGTGGGGTGGGGTTGGGTGGGGTGGGTCAGTTTACAATAAATTTTCATCGCAAACGTGACCACCCCCTATTATCCGTACTTTCGTCAAAACATATCTTTAGACAAGAGTGCTGATAACCTTTGACTTTCTCTTGAGGGTATATATATATATATATATATATATATATATATATATATATATATATATATATATATATATATATATATATATTTGGTTGGATAGATGTGAGTTTGTAACCCCGGGTTTCACGCTTTAGCGATCGTCAGAGTTTGTCTGACGATCGCTAAAGGTGAAAACCAAGGTCACAAACTCACATCTATCCAACAAATATGTTAGCTCTATCTCTGATATTGAGCGCTTTCTAATAAGTACGCGCATATAATATATAAATAATTATACATATATATATTTATTTATATTTATAAACACTTCCCCCCATATATATATATATATATATATATATATATATATATATATATATATATATATTGAGTGAAATTGTATGACAAAGTGGTAAAAAGTTTACATGTGGCGAGTTTCGTCCTTCAGGTCTTCATCGGACTAAATTTATGTCAGTACAACAACTCATGCGCACTAAAGAGGAGGTGCTGGGAATTTTAGAATTTTTTTATATCTAGCCGAATTTATTTAGAGTTTCTTTTTGTTTCACACACACACACACACACACACACACACACACACACACACACACATACATATATATATATATACTCTTTAGATTTCAATGTTACTTCCTTACAGTTAACTGCTAGTCAAACACTAATAGTCATGCTATATATATATATATATATATATATATATATATATATATAGCATGACTAACTTTTCAACCACCTGATGAACATTCATGAACGTTGACAAATTTAAATGCCTTGATAAACCAATAACATCCTCGCATCTGCATATGTAGCATAATAAATCCTAAATTGCCTTGATAAACTCGCTCAGATGACGAAACGGGTTGGCTAAGTATAGTTTTTCCTCTTGTCTCTTTTTATTCATTTTGTCTATGCTACAGATGCATTCCTCCATCTAAGAATATATATATATATATATATATATATATATATATATATATATATATATATATATATATATATATATATATATATTGTATAACAGAGACAAATCAGGGACAATATTTTATGGTGATTGCTACATGTTACTTCACATAGTAATGGCTTCCGTCTCGTTCTGGGCGTCCATAGTCAATAAGATGACATTTGAGACCAGCATTCGATTTCACAAGTATCAGCCATATATGACAGATAAAGTCTGTTTCCTTGATTGGAATGATTGGATCTGCAGGCTCTACGACTCTCTTGGGCATCACCATGTGCCTTCTCACTCCAGGTCATGATCTGTAAATCTTATCGCAAATAAAACAGATATTTCTGGCAGGACGATGAAGCAGGTTGGCATTGTTGACTTGGTTCTGGCTGTTCTGATGACCTTTAAGATGGTTTACATAACCTGACCTCGACAACAGCACCCGCTCTCTCACACCACATTTCCAAGACTGAATGCTAGCTGGCAGATCAGCGCGATTGCCTGTTCGGAGATCACATTTGATCTGAGTACGCCTGAGACATTCATCTGTAAAGTGCTTCCCTCATAAAGTGCCTCCACCCTGTACGATTTAAAGTCACTTCTTCCCACTGCTGTACATACATGTCCAATGCATTCAGATTATACTTTCAGATTATATTTAAATCTCTTCCAAGGCTTGTGTTGTGGGCGATTTCCTGTATTTAGTACCCCGTAGAAAAGTTGTTTGGGAATCCTGTTATCTTCCGTTCTCACGGCGCATCTGGTTAACCATTGTTACAACAAGCTGAATTATCCGCGTTTTGCGAATTTTTTCTAAGCTCTATACTAAACATTAAATCTGTTACGAAAAAAGAACTAAACAAAATGAACACAATACGATCGGCTTTAAAAAAGGACTCGTAACTGGAAAAACCGAATGAAAAAAGAACGTTAACAACAAATACTTTTTCACACCCAACACAGTTCTGCGGAATCAGAATCAACGTTGAGTTTAAGAAAGCGAATGAGCCAATTGGAGTTAGATTTAAATTTTTCCCACTTGTGACAAATGCAGCTATCGTTTTTTTTTTTTGCATGCTAGTTAACATTCGTATCAGTTAGTTGTTGGCTCTCACGCTGGCCAATAGAATCTTCCTGTCTATTCGTGGCAGCCAGCTATAGGCTCTCACTCTGGCCAGTACAAAATGACCGCAAACTACATTAAAACTGCCGTAGAAGCATGAAAAAATCGATTATTTCCACTATCGATGGAAGTTGGGAAATGCAAAGTCGGTCTTGGCCTTTGCCGCTAACTTGGAGCATGTGCATGTAAATTTTGGTGCAAATCCGTTGAAAATTGCGGCCGTGCATTCGTCACACACACACACACACACACACACACACACACACACACACACACACACACACACACACACACACACACACACACACACACACACACATCCTGTCTTTTATAGATAGAGATGTTGAACTCTTGTCTATCAGTTATGTAATAAATATATTTGGTATTTAGACATTTTTTTTATAATCCTTGACACTAGCATTTAAAATGTATCCCATCAGTAATGGAAACTGTATATATATATATATATATATAGCTGTGTGTGTATGTATTCTTGCCCCTCAAACTGGCCCCAGGCAATATACACGCCCAGCTACCGTTACAAATGCATGTGTAGCAATTAAAGTTGTTGATATAGACGTCAATCAACGGACAATGCACCCGTCAAAGGGCGTACCCCAAGTAAACAATCACCCCGGCCACGTATAGGCGCAGTGTGGGTGACGGGTGAAGAGTATGGGGAAAAACAATGTCGGAAGCGATCGTAATCACTGTCAGTTGGGACCTGTTGATAAAAGCTCGACTTTACGAGACTAAGTTTTTTGGGTCGTCCCATGTCAACCAGAAACTGTTTTGTATTAGACCCTTACGTTGTCATTTGTTTAGTTTGGCGCCCCAAATTCGGATACTGTGTTTGCAAAATAGCTGTTACATCAGTCGATTTGTGAAAAAAAAAAAGAAAGTCAACTTTTATTTTTATAGCACAATAGTGTGTGCGTGTGTGTGCATATATATATATATATATATATATATATATATATATATATATATATATATATATATATATGTGAAAATATATAGAAAATAGGAAGGAACTGGTTAGGTAAATAATCCAAAGTCCCTTAGTATTTTAGTTATTATTTTAAAAAATAGTGCTCGATACAAAAGTAGAGCATAAATATAATTATTTATTTAAAAATATGATTCCAAAACGCGACATAAGAAGTCTCATGTTTCAAAACAAGAGCCGAAAACTTCAATATAATTATTTAAATTAAATTGAGATAAAGTAAGCTCTGTTCCATCTTCAAGCGAAATTTTTTTGGAATAACGTATATCTGAAATTTATTCCAAAAAAAATTTCGCTTGAAGATGGAACAGAGCTTACTTTATCTCAATTTAATTTAAATAATTATATTGAAATTTTCGGCTCTTGTTTTGAAACATGAGTCTTCTTATGTCGCGTTTTGGAATCATATTTTAAATAAATAATTATATATATATATAAATATATATATATATATATATATATGTGTGTGTGTGTGTGTGTGTGTGTGTGTGTGTGTGCTTATTTGCACGTGTGTATATGTGCGTGCGTTCGTTTTTTCTCCTCCGCGTACCTGTTTTGGCATATGAGTTTGCATACTTACATATGTATCTAAGGTGAATGATTGATTATTTAGTTTAGCGGCATATCAACACCTCTATGAGTTATTTAATATTGAAATATAAATATTTTGTACGCAATTTTATGGCTTCAACTCCAGAAAAAGAATGTATTGTTGTCCATTTTGCTTTAAAAAACTATGGTTGGTCATTTTACTATAAATACCTATTGCTAGTAATTTTTTTTAATATAAATATACATATAGGAATTTTTACTATAAATATGTCGGTTTGTTGGTTGTTTTTATTTAGTGACATAACAACCTCTATGGGTCATTTAAGGCTGAAATCTAAATATTTACGAAAATTTTATCGCTTCAATTACAGATAAAATGTATTTAGTTATTTTGCTATAAATAGGTAATTTTATTTTTATATAAAAATGTATTGCTGGCATCTTCACCATGCAAATGCATTTTTATGTTTTCACAATATTTTATTTTTGTTGGGACGGGGGGGTCAATATTTGCCCATAGCTGGGCCCCTAACAGGTGCTACCACTATATGTTAGGGTGGACTTAGAAACAATCGCAATTAAGGGGTGATCTCAAGCTCCTCAAAACCTGCAATATCCCCGCTCAGAGGCCTTGCTGCCGGATGTAGTTTATCGTCATACCCAGGAGCATGTATCTATGCAATAGATATGTACATAAATCTTGTTGCGAACAACATAGGTATTTCTGGCAGGACGATGAGGCAGGTTCATATCGTTGGTTTGGTTTTGGTTGTTCTGATGACTTTTCATATGTTTCTATATCTCTGAGATGAGGTATTATGATTACTTATATTATTTACATTATTCGAACTGTTAACCTCATCTTCATTGCCATATTCACAACGTTTCGATCGTTGTACGCTTCAGCCTTCTTCAGGTGATTGGAATTTCGAACTGAGCCCTTTATTTCGTCCACACTTAGGGTCTAGTCATTGAATCTAACCAACGCCTTTACCCGCGGATAAAGGCGTTGACCAGACCGAAAGAATTGTGAGTTCCATACCAGTCTACAGCAGTAGTGAACCCAAGCTTGGAGACTTGAGTTAAACTGCCATATCTAGAAGAGGCATGGCGCGTGGAACTAGAACAATCTACCCCCCCCCCGGTGGACGAAATAAAGGGTTCGGTTCGATATTCCAATCACCTGATGAAGGCCGGAGCGTAGAAACGTTGTGAATACGGCAATGAAGAGGAGGATAACTGTCCGAATGATGTAAATGATGTAAGTAACCTTTCAGATAGTTTAATATACATGCGTATGTGCGCATGTGTCGGACTTGCTCGTGCGTGTGAGTGCAAACGTGTTTGTATGTAAGTGTGTATGTGTTTGTGTGCTTGCGTATATGCTTGCGCATGTGTATAACGCATATATGTATATATAGTGATTTTCTAAGCGTAGCTTAAATGTGTCGCAAGGCCGAATGTGGCACCCAATGAGGATCGAGCTCACTATTCAACCGTAATATGCATTTATGTATGTGCGGATGTGCATATATTTCCTGAGTGCATTAGTGTGTACGCATGTGTTGCGCATATATGTGTTTGTGTACGCATGTGCGCGTGTACAAGTATGTTATTGTATGTGTGTGCGTGTATGTGTGTGTGTGTGTGTGAGAGAGAGTATGTTTGAATTCGTGAAACTGCTTTATTAGTAAAGCCGGTTTCTCAGATCAAAAAGTAAATACAATCCCAATCCTTATGACTTTCACTCTCTAGGCCGATAGACATTAATTAATGTTATAAAAAATGGATGTCTACTTAAACACGTGGATTCGCTAAATATAACGTCTATATCAATATATATATATATATATATATATATATATATATATATATATATATATAAAAATATTTAAAAGAAAAACAGACCACTTTAAGGTACCATTATGATAATTTATTTCACCTGAGTCCTTTTAAAAGGACGCCGGATCATCAGATAGCATATATATATATATATATATATATATATATATATATATATATATATATATATATATATATATATTATAGTAAAAGAAAGAACAGTAAAATACATAATCCGGTGTTCTTATTAATATTTCGGTGTTATTATATTATATTATATATATATATATATATATATATATATATATATATATATGTATGCAAAATATGGATATAGATCCGACAGTATGAAGAAAAATATATACGGAAAAAACAAAACAAAAATCCTTATATACAATTCTGCTGTAATATATATATATATATATATATATATATATATATGTGTGTGTGTGTGTGCGTATAGTGCAAGTTTTAATAGGAAGTGATAAAATATTCTCATCAAATCTCTTTAAAAATCATTATATATATATATATGTGTGTGTGTGTGTATATATATATATATATATATGAAAGAGAGAAAGAGAGAGAAAGAGAGAGAAAGAGAGAGAGAGAGAGGGGGTGATAAAGACAGACAAAAACAAATTAAATAATTGGTAAACCCTCAACGAACAAACCTCCTAAAATTTAGCCTGCCAAAAGAATAAAAAAAAAACAAATATGAAAAAAATGTAAACGAAAAAGACCCAAAAAAATCAATAAAATAAAACACATGAAGGGAAATAAAACACAAAAAATAGAACAGAAAGTCAGACGTCTAAAAAGCCCTGTAGTGCTCATTGTCTCTACTCTAGAAATTAGATTAAGACAGAGCAGTAATACTAAAAAACACTGAGGGTCTCTGATCTAAATCGTAACGCCGAGTTTCATGAAATGTGATCGTTAGGCAACAAGAACCTACATATATATGAGATTAAAACAAAAACATTTCAACAATCGCTACACAGTAGCTTTCATGTTCCAGCACTCAAATTGTGCCTCCTCAGGCGATAGTAAATAACTGGAGAGTAAAAAATTATTTTTTAAACTTCAAAAACAGATAACAACAAAACAAAATTAAAATGTTTACCCTATTTAACCAATTAGGTGTCAGACCTACGCTACCACATTTTTCTATGATCAAAATTCTACCTTTTTAGCGTAGGTCTGACATCTCATTGGTTAACCAGGGTAAACCCACAAGCTTCATTTTAATTTTGTTTTGTTATCTGCTATTGAAATTTAAAAAATTCTTCTCCGGTCCCGACAACTCTCTTATATCCGGGTTACACTGTAGTAGAAAAGACAAATATATTAACTGCATCCACCTAAAAAAAAAGACTAAAAATAATGGAAGCTTTAATAATAAAAAAGAAAAAACCAACTCTTAACAATATTAACTACGAACAAGGCCACAATGTGCTAACCGAATTCGGAAATTAAAAACATCCCTCCCACACACTAAGACATACACAGAGCGCACACACTCAATTAAGCTGCAAAATCGAATCATCCTTGATAATGGCTAAAGGTATAGCCGAAAGCGCTCGGAAATATAAAACATTTGGACAGTTCTTACACACCCTTTGTTCAGAAAAGAAAGCTCTTGTCAGAACACAAGAAAAATTAAATAAAAAGCTTAACCGTTGTACCTTGTCTGTCGTTTTTAATGAAACATGCATATATATATATATATATATATATATATATATATATATATATATATACAAATGATGAAATATCGTTTTATGGTATGATATATTTATGGGTTAAAATGCTCAATATCAGGGATAGAATGTATGAAAATATAAAATTGGACAACTGAAGTCAACACCCAGAAGCGACAGTCTGTTCCATGCTTGAATGCAATCTCCAGGCATGAAACAGACTATCGCCTCTGATTTTGACCTCAATGTCCACTTATATATACAGGATGTCGATAAATTCTCTTTAAAAACAAGCATGTTACAAAGGAAACTGATGTGCCACCGTAACTAGATGGCCTTCAACCATCGATCATTTTTCAGAAAGATGGTGCACTACCACTTTGGGGACTGCATGTTCATGGGTTCCTAAATCAGACATTTCCAGGCCAGTGGACTGGAAGGGATGGCCCAATTCTCTGGCCACCTCGTTCACCAGATATCACTTCCTTGGAATTCTTTCTCTGGGGTTATGTTAAAGAGATCGTGTATCGAACAAAGATACAGGACATCACTGATCTAAAGGAAAAGATTACTTAAGCCATTGCCACAATTGATGAGGCTATGCTACAGAGAACATGGCAAGAAATCGAGTACCCCGTCCTGGGTATGACGATAAACTATATCCGCGTCCTAAGTAAGACGATAAACTACGTCCAAAAACAAGGCCTCTGATGGGGAGGTTTTGAGGAGCGTGGAACCACCTCTTAATTGACCCGGGGTGGTAGAATATATTAGGGTCCCAGCTATAGGCAAATAATTAACCCCCAAACTAGGGTCAAAACACAATGAAAGTGTAAAAATAGGTTTAAATGCCAGAAATACTAATATAGCACTAATACATTTTTGAAAAAAAAAAAAAAAAAAAAAAAACATTACCAACTATACATCTTTTGAAAAAAAAATATTATCAGCGAAGGAAAATTATTGCTAGAAATAGATTTTTGAAGGAAAAAATATTTCCAGAAATGGATTTTTTGAAGGAAGGAATATAACCAGAAATAGATTTTTGAAAAAAAATATTACCAGCGAAGGAAAATTATTAATAGAAATAGATTTTTGAAGGAAAAATATTTCCAGAAATGGATTTTTTGAAGGAAGGAATATAACCAGAAATAGATTTTTGAAAAAAAAATATTACCAGCGAAGGAAAATTATTGATAGAAATAGATTTTTGAAGGAAAAAATATTTCCAGAAATGGATTTTTTGAAGGAAGGAATATAACCAGAAATAGATTTTTGAAAAAAAATATTACCAGCGAAGGAAAATTATTAATAGAAATAGATTTTTGAAGGAAAAAATATTTCCAGAAATGGATTTTTTGAAGGAAGGAATATAACCAGAAATAGATTTTTGAAAAAAAAATATTACCAGCGAAAAAAAATTATTAATAGAAATAGATTTTTGAAGGAAAAAATATTTCCAGAAATGGATTTTTTGAAGGAAGGTATATAACCAGAAATAGATTTTTGAAAAAAAAATATTACCAGCGAAGGAAAATTATTGATAGAAATAGATTTTTGAATGAAAAAATATTTCCAGAAATGGATTTTTTGAAGGAAGGTAATAAATACAAATATAAATAAAGTTATAAATTTTTTAAATTGCACCCTAACTTTATGGACACCCTGTATATATTCACTTTTCCCACCGTTGTAAAGTTCTTTCGTTGTGCCTTTTCTCTTAATACTTCCATGATAAATGTTAATTAACTCGATTCATACTTTCAATATTATTCAATTTATCCTGGTAGAGATTATCCAAAAAAAAAAATTCTCGTGAGGAATGTCTTCAGTGTCCCCTAAGATTTTGCTCGAGTAATTAAGAAATGATACATTTTCAGAAATGATTAATCAATGTTTTTAGATTTCAAGTGCTTGAAAACCGTACTCCAAAATTTAATTAATTTTTGACGAAGCGACCGCCATATTTCCCCCATTGAAGCAGTGCTTGCAAAATAAAACAAATTAAAAAGAAAAAAAAAAGAGGCACTCTCCCCAATAGCCTCGCACCCCCTAAGCGTCTTATAAATCGATGGCAGTATTACTGCTATTAGACTAACATTTAAATCCCTTTCTGTGTGACACAGTAACATTCGATGACCCAGACTGAAATATACATGATAATAAATGATTCAATTATGATTTTTAATTAATGGAGGATAATTGAATAACAAAATGGAAAATTCCTTGTAAAGCGTTTTGTGCTTCAAAATGACTTCATCAGATTAAAATGATGTTCTTATTAATGGAATTATAATCCGATAATGAGACAGCGAAATTAGCTAAGCAAAGTATTAAGAAACAAAAAAATTTCGTTAGAAACAGAGATAAGAGTACTGAATTGTTATGTGATAACTGTCCTCCTATATGGCAGTGAATGCTGGACAATCTTCTCACAGATGAAGAAGAGACTTGAAGCAACAGAAACAAAGAAAAGAGTACTGAACTGTTACGTAATATCAGTCCTCCTATATGACAGTGAATGCTGGACAATCTCCTCACAAATGAAGAAGAAACTTGAAGCAACAGAAATATGGTTCTACAGAAGGATACTGAGGATACCTTGGATCGAATATGTGAGCAACAACGAAGTTTTAGGGAAAATGCAAACAAAAAGGAAACTTATACTTAACATCAGGAAGAGGCAGTTGAAACTTCTAACGAAGTTGTTCTGTTTCTCATTACACATACCCTAAGAGAATAGGATACATGGTCGCTTTTGCGTTGGAGACACATGCGCGTAGATATGGACGAAGGACAACAAAAAAAAAATTGCCCTGTCCAAAACAACCACTGTCATGCTGGCTTTTGTATCTACCAGTCCTCTCTCTTTAGTGAAGTGACGGCGGTGCTGCAGTACAATGGGGATCCCCGTGACTAATATCCCTCACTACAAAATCATGAACTGTCTGAAGGCAAAAATACAGCCGAGAGAGAGAGAGAGAGAGAGAGAGAGAGAGAGAGAGAGAGAGAGAGAGAGAGAGAGAGAGAGAGAGAGAGAGAGAGAGAAAGAGAGAGAGAGACAGAGACAGAGAGACAGAGGGAGAGTGGGGAGAATAGATACTATAATTTGATCACAGACAGACTCTTCTTTACTCAGCTTAAATTAAGAATAGATAGAGAACTCAGTGAGAGTCGAACTCAATACGCATTGGCAATGATCAACTAGACTTGAACGGTAACCATTCCTCCGATTTCAAGGCGCCCTACAGAAGGGTTTATCCGAGCAGCGAAAGATGAAAGGCTGCTAACAAGATCTTACCGAAAGCATATTTTAAGTAGATCTGTGTAGTAGATCTAAAGTGTCGTTTCTGTACACATGCTGAGAGAACTATTGATCATTTGATATCTGGCCGTCCTAACCACTTACTAAATGAATTTAAAAATAAATATGATAGGGTAGGGCTATACCTTCATTAGAAGAGATACCAATGTTATAACTTACTCCAAACAGAAAAAAAATCATCACCACTTCTCGCTGACAGTGTTACTTTAGGCTGGGATTTCATCATGCACCCTCCAGTCGCATTATACAAACTAATAGAAGAGATATTGTTATAAAAGTCTTCAAAGAACATAAATGCTATCATATAGACAGGATCGTAACATTTCAACGTAAATATATATATATATATATATATATATATATATATATATATATATATATTAGTAGAAAACACAAATATAGTAACCTCATCCACTTGTAAAAAAACGATTAGAAATAATGGTACCTTTAACAATAATAAAAAATAGCCAACTCTTAACAATATTAACTACGAAGAAGGCCACAATGTGCTAACCGTATTCGGAAATTAAAAACATCTCTACAACACACTAAAACGCACACTTAATGCACACACTCTTTTAAGCTGAAAAATTGTATCATCCTTGATAATGGCTAACGGTATAGCTGAAAGCGCTCGGAACTATAAAACATTTAGACAGTTTTTACACACCTTTTGTCCAGAAACACAAGAAAAATTAAATAAAAACCTTGTCTGTCGTTTTAATGAAACGCCCCCGCGCACACACACACACACACACATATATATATATATATATATATATATATATATATATATATATATATATATATATATTAATTGATTTAAAATATGTTTTTCCGCTACACAGTTCTAACCATGTTTCAAAATTTTAGAACTGTGTTATGAAAAACTATATTTTAAATCAATTAATTATAATATTAATGCTCTGTAAATTTACATTGAGCACTATTTTGTAAAAATAAAAATACTTATAAGAACACTGGATTATATATCTTACTGTTCTTTCTTTTTATTTATATATACATATATATATAGTCTAATTCGCTACCTCTTCGTCACCGAGGACCGTTGGTACAGTTGGTGTTCGGGTTTCAATATTAGGTAGTGGATACGCACTGCTAATGATTCCCAAATATAGGACGAAACGGCCGTCTAGTGCTTTCTGCTTTCTGTTGAGGTTTCATCTAGACTTGATGAATTACTTAATTATAATTGTCTTAAACCCTCCTAATAATTTCTATCGCATATATATATATATATATTGTGTGTCCCAAAAAGTTGTTTTGTAGTCTAATAACATAGCAAATTCTTGGTCAAATGATCTCAAATTTTAACAAAATGTGTAAAAACAAACTCAGTTGACTGCTGACTTAATGCGATGAGAATATCCCAGAAAAATGGATCGATCGTGCCAGTGATAATGACAATGTACTATTGAAATGGCCACCACATTCACATGACTTGACACATTGTGATTTTTTTTTTCTATTGGGCTATGTGAAAGGACACATCCATATCCCCCTTTTCCCTGAATGACGGCAAATATAAAATTAAAACTCATAACGGCTGATTTATAAAACGATATATACAGGATGTCCACCCAAAATTGAAATAATTTAACTCCATGTCCCAAACAAACAAAATTAAATAAGTTTCATGTTGAGGAACAAAAAAGATTTATTTATCAAAATTCGAACAAGATATTCAAAGGATTTTATGTTCAATATGAGCCCCATCTGTGAAACACAATATACAGTCAAATCGGTAGACCGGCTCCTGTCAAAATACTAAGAGTGTGCGTGTGTGGGGGGTTTCGCTGAATTATCGACTGACTTGCTGTCACTAGATCTCCAGTGAAAGTCACCAGATATTTCTGATGTGAGAACGCAGAAAATAATAGCAGGCTACAATTATTTTTTGTATTTTTTGAGGCTACGTGTTTTAAAGGAGCCATTGTTGGATGAGTGGCAAGTTAAACGCTGTGATAATGTTGTAGTAGTGAAACCAATGTACGGATTATGAAACTTGCACAGTGTAACCCGGATATAAGAGACCCTGATATAAGAGAAACCCGGATATAAGAGAGATTTTATCTGGTCCCAAATTAGAGCCCATACTTACCTAAACAAAATAGACCAAACCCGGATATAAGAGAAACCCGGATATAAGAGACTTCTTCGGTCCCGACAACTCTCTTAAATCCGGTTTACACTATATATATATATATATATATATATATATATATATATATATATATAATTATTATTTATAAAAAAATTATAACATACATATGTTATAAAATCACTACAAAAATAGCCATTTTGTTTCAACACCCTCGGTGTCTTATCAAGTGATGATGTTGAAGATAAAATAAATGGTTTTAAAAGTTACAAATTAATTAACGATCCTTCACTAGGGGGAAACATTGTTACAAAAGCTAGAATAACCAATCAAAATCCAAGTATAGGAATATTCAAAAGCTTGACAACGAAATCATGTTATAATAGCTATTCAGATCTTTAAAATACGGGTAAAGAATTTATACTAACCAATAATTATAAAATTATATGATAAAATTTAATATTAAAATTAAAAACTGCCAATTTTAAAATCCAAATTTAATCACTATTAAGTTTAAAAACTATAAAATTATTGAGAAAAGAAAAAATACATATCTTATTCAATTTATTTCTTCGTTGAAATTACGTTCGACAAGACGCTACAATATCCGGTCATTTGACAATACATGTATATATATTTTTTATTCTAAAGTGTGCGATATACATATGTTAACTTTTTTTAATTTCTGAATTAGTTGTTTTATATAATTGCTAAATTTACCAAAGCCCATATTTATTCATATTTGACTGTCTTTTTTGTTAGTTCCGGCGTTACCACATTTGCAGGGACCAATTTCAAGTCACACAATGTGACGTCATTTAATCATGGCGATACCTATATATCACGAGATAAACGGATGCCTGCAAATATTGTTGATTGTAACCCTTTATCTTGAGTAAATGTCGAGACATGTACTTATTGGACTTCAATAAAATAAAAATAAAAATAAAGATGATTGTTTTACCATCACAAATAATATGTTTAAGAAAACAGTTGTTACTTTTGTAAGTAAGCCGAGATGAGCACATTTCAAAGCGACGAGGTTTTTTAGTTAGCAATGATTATTTTTTTACTTAGCCATGATTGATCAAAGATTCAATGTCTTGGTGGCTAGACCAGAGTGACCTCTCCAGGGTGCAGGTCTGGGTCATGAGATATGGAGTCCGTGCGCTGCTCAGACTGACAAAATCCAAAGGAATACAGGACATTACATTTGGGGCTCGGCCAGCCAATTGAGTCAAACTTTATAAATTGTAAATAATGGTTTAAGTATTTTTTTATAATTTAGTACATGTTTATAAATTTATGAATACATAATTGTTTTCGTATTTACTTTTTATGAATACCGAATCTTTCTTTTTCGATCTTCGTGTCGCAGTGAAATGATAAAAGTAAGAAAAAATGAGTGGGGTCAAATTATTATTCTAAAATTATCTTCCACAATATTTATTCATTGATCGCTTTTTACCCTGCGTTTGTCGCATGGGTCGTTTTGGGATCCCTAAATCTTTTAAAGTACTCGTAATGTTTAGTTAGTAATTCGTTTCTTTTGCTCCTTCTCGCTACTCTCCTGAGTCAGAGAGGGTGTGTAGCACGCGGTGGGGCGCAATTGTAGCTCAGTTGTCGTGAGAGGCAAACATCGCTTTGTCTTCTTTGGGGTGTCCTGTCACACCACCTGACTAACGAAGTTAAATTTTGATTATATCTTATTTATTATAAAACGCAGATTATGTGTGTGTGTGTGTGTGTGTGTGTGTGTGTGTGTGTGTGTGTACGTTTATATATTGGATCGGATTTCCTACATTTTACACCGATTTCAACAAATCTTCACAGGACTACGTAAAATTACCTTACGGTGGTTCTGACAGCGCCAAAAATTGGAAAGACACAATTGTTTTTGTACGAAATCAATTTGAAAACACGATAAAACACGATTCTGTCGCGAGAATGAAAGGGAGACAACTCATATCGAGTTATACTTATTATAAAACCCAGGTTGGTTGTGTGTGTGTGTGTGTGTGTGTGTGTGTGTGTGTACGTTTATGTATGGGATCGGATTTCCTACATTTTTCAACCGATTTCAACAAAACTTCACTTTTTTTGGCATGTAGTGTTTCTTATTGTCTTGCACACTTTTTTCTTTATTTTTACATTCAGAATGCTTTAAAAATTCCATTTCCATTGTTTATAATAAAATTCTATTCAATCAGTAGACTCATAACGATTGAAAACAATGTTTTTGTTTGAGTTTGGGTTTGACCAATTCGTAAAAAAAAACCCTAAAAAAAAAAAAAAAGAACTAATTAAGATATGCGTGTCCGTCAACCTTAAACAATAATCTTTTTCAATTTTATTTTTCAGTCTTTATGATGGTCGATACTTGATCTATCTCTTACTGTTACATCCCCAGGCAACGCTGCTAGTTTTTAATATTAATAATGCTAGTATATATATATATATATATATATATATATATATATATATATATATATATATATAATTCACTACGACGAAAATTCTAGACAATACCTGGATCAAAAGGTCATCTACAGTAAATTTCTTCCCTGGCTCTTATAACATGTTACCATTCCTGGCAGATCTTCTGCTATCACATTGTGGGATATCAACTAAAAAACGGGATGGAAACGAAAAGAATCTAAATGAAATCTGCTAAATAAAAAAAAAAATTAAAATTAAAATTCCCAGCATCCTTTGTTCGTGCGCATGTGTAGTCGCACCAACATAACAAATTTAGTCTGATGAAGTCTTAAAGGACGAAACTCGTCACTAGAAAACTTTTTCCACTTTGCCATACATTTTTCCCCTATACATACATACATACACACTTTTTGAAAGGCCGAATACAGAGACCTGGTGCACTACGTGCCAAGAGGTCTCCAAACCACCCTCCGCAGGTTTTGAAATCAGAGTTTTCCTTCTCCTAAATCAGTTGCCATCCAAGGTTATAGAACCCAGTCTGTCCTGCTATTTACCCATAGCTGGAGGGAGAAGAAGAGGATTCATACCTTTCCCAAGGGTATTAGCACGGATGTGAATGTAATGGATTCGATTGTAATTCGAACTGGCTATCCGATTCCTTAATCCATGCCGCTATCCATTACCATGCCTCTTCATATATATATATATATATATATATATATATATATATATATATATATATATATATATATATATATATATATATATATATATATATATATGTGTGTGTGTGTGTGTGTGTGTGTGTGTGTGCTCCTCTACAGAAATTCCTGTTTAAAATCAAAAATTTCGAATTTAAATAATAAAAATCTTACTTGAAGCTTGAAGCTTCTTTTTTTAATTTTAAGCTATTAATTTTTAGGACTTACAAATGAATGAAATATTTATTAAATAGATTTTTCAGAAAATTTTGGTAAAAATACTTTTTTCTTTACATCTGTTACCCTCCCCACTCTGTTTAATGAAATTTCGAGAAATTAAATACCACCCACTTCATATTTATATTAGTTAAAAGCAGGACTCCTTGGAGAATTTAAATCATCAATTTTTTTGTAAAACAGAAACACCATTTATCGAAAATCTGCTCCGAATCGTAAAATGAAAAAAAATGCAATAAATTTACGATATAATTTAATTAGGAAACCTTTTAATTGCTTTTATGGATTAGATATATTAAGCACATTATTAACTAAGAAAAAAAAAATCGATGAATAATGAATTTTTACAAGAATTCTTTTTATGCTTTTAAATTTTAATTAATTTTAATTAGAATAATTTATTAAATTTTAAATCTTTTAAAATTCTGTATTAATTCCACCCTTTTAGATGATATTGTTATTAACTAAAACACTATATTTACTAATAATAAACAGAAAAGCTTAGTACAAATCGTCAAACATCCATATTTTTAAATGAATAAATTATGTGTATAAATATACCGATTTTTTTTATATACGGACGACCATACCCAACAAAATAAATACGGTTATTATAGTAAATTTACAACCAAACATTTAAAATTCAATAAAACATTAGACTACGGAGAATATTTTCTTGAATTTAAAAAAAAAAAAATTAAAAATTATTTATGAAAGTCTCTCACATTAATTCAATTACTTTTTTAACACCTAAAGCTTCTATATAACAGCATTTAGATAAATATGAAACTGTTATCAAGCTGTCAAACCTAACAATACCTTGAATAAACAGCTATTATCAGGCAAAAAAATGCATTTCTGCTATATTTTAAACGTAAAGTAAATAATAGCTGTTTCAGAACAGATTAATTATACTTTAAATATTCCACAATTAAAATTAAGATTTGTTTTAATGACGAGAATCACATTGAGATGAAAGGTGACTAAAAAGCAAAAAAAAAACAAACAAACCCTTTTTCCAGTTAAGTTAAATTCATTTTGAATTAATTTTGAAATGCAGCAAAGTATTTTGCTTATTGAAAATATTAAATCCAATCTTTTAGCTTGAAATTAAAACTAAAATAAATCTTCAAGAAAGATTATCCATTTTAAAAAATTCATTTTAAACCTTACGTGTCGCATTTTCTGTGTAGGTACCTCTGTCTGTCTATCTATCTATCTATCTATCTATCTATCTATCTCTCTCTCTCTCTCTATATATATATATATATATATATATATATATATATATATATATCTGTTATATGTATATATCTATCTATCTATCTATCTATCTATCTATATATATATATATATATATATATATATATATATATATATATATATATGTTTGGTGTAACTATCCAGTGGGGAACTAAATGTATATTTTGTATTAGTATAAATATATATTATTAGTATATTTCATCGATAACTATATATAAGTATATAGCGTAAAGTCAGGGATGTATTAATGTAATTAATAATGTTTAATAATAACCAACTTTATATATATATAATCGATTCTCCCGTCGAGATTCGACGTATGAGGGTCAAGCAGATCAGTTTCCAGGAAACCGACAGCCCGATACCGGCACATGAGATTTGATTATAAGGCTTCGTGCAGGACCATTCACACTTTTTGAAGGGCCGAATACAGAGACCTGGTGCACTAAGTGCTACAAGGTCCTCAAATGACGCTCTGCAGGTTTTGAATTCAGAGTTGTCCTTCTCCTAGACCAGTTGCCATCCAAGGCTATAGAACCCAGTCTGTCCTGCTATTTTACCCATAGCTGGAGGGAGAAGAAGAGGATTCATACCTTTCCCAAGGGTATTAGCACGTAAGTGAATGTAATGGATTCGACAGGAATTCGAACTCGGCTCTGCGATTCCTCCATCCAAGCCGCTATGATAATATGATATATGTAATGAAATGGGTTAATTCCTACAATTATTTTAATATATTTATTGTTTATACGTTATTTTTATAGATATAATTTATTTAAGCAAATGCACTATTTTTCTAAATAAACAGTATTAATTACATTTATCGGCCTGACTGTCCGAGAAATTTCGTAGAAAATATGCACTCCTCCGACAGGAATCGAACCTGTAACCCTTAATAGGAACCATCATTTGATTTGATGTGCTGTTAACTATAACTATTCAGTCACAAAGAATCGTCCGAATTTCTGTTTATAAAAACACACATTAAGGCTTACAGATTCGATTCCTCTCAACGAAGAGACATATCTTCTACGAAATTTCTCGAACATTCAGGCCGGTAAATGTAATTAATACTGTTTAATAATAAAACAGCATTTAGTTAAATAAATTATATCTCTAAAATAATGTATAAACAGAATATATATATATATATATATATATATATATATATATATATATATATATATATATATATATATATATATATATATATATTCAAAAAATGAGAAAGTTCGTAACATTCAATTTAAAAGAGCATCAATAAATTGTCTACTCACCAGTTGTTTACTAACACTTGATGAGAGGTGTTTATAAGCATGGAAACATGACTGCATTTGTGTTGTGTTGTGTGTCTGTGAATTTTTTAGAAATGAAAAGCTTAGCTAAAATCATTTAGTCTATTTACATATATGCATACAAACACACACACAAATATATATATATGAAATTTTTAGGCATAAAAGCTTAGCTAAAGGCATGTCTATTTACATATATCCATACAAACACACGCACAAATACACACACACAAATACACACACACACACATATATATATACGATTTTTAGAAATTAAAAACTTAGCTAAAAACCTTTGAACAACATGTGTATTTGCATATATGCATACAAACACATTCACACACACACGCACACACACATATACACATATATATCCATAAGGACACGCACAAATATGTATATATATTTCATATATATATATATATATATATATATATATATATATATATGTATGTATGTGTGTGTGCGTGTGTGTGTGTTTGTGTGTGTGTATGTATTTGTTGTTTCATATATATATATATATATATATATATATTTGTGTGTGTTTATATAAAGCATCAATATATATTTGTGTGTGTGCTTGTATGTATATATATGTGTGTGTGTATGTGTGTTTGCATGCAAATATATAAATAGACATATTCTTCAAATGTTTTAGCTGAGCTTTTCATTTCTAATATAAAAACAAGGCCTTGTACTTTTGGACAAGAATTTGCTTCTGTATGCTTTATATAAACAAAAGGTGAATTCTTATATTTGTTTATCTGTTTTTGTTTTTTGTTTTTTTTACGAGGGGAAATACTTTTTAAAAAGTTATTTTTAAAACGACCTAATAATAGGATATTTTCCTCTTCTTATAAATAAAAGCAACTCGCATTTGTGCCAACGGAAATGTGGTTTTACACATACCTCTATTTCAAGCAATAATCATAATAAGCCTGTTATAATGACAGTGTTAATAACAATGCGGACCTTGTATTTTATCGTAAGGCACAAAATCCTTAACTGAAAACCTCGGCAACTATTTGCACTCGGTAACAGGCCGAGTTTCATTTCGAGACTTAGAAATCGGTCGGTATTTTTACCGAATGGGCGTCATAAAGGACATGCGCACATCTCAAAAATGGGAATGGCTTCCGGTTCGCTTTATGATCGCACGTAGTCTACTGAAGTACCGAAGCTTGTTGATATAAACAAAGAGAAAAGAAAATATGTACATTTTTGTTTTTCTTTTCTTCTTTTTTTTTTTATCGTTTCGCCCCATGCAAGGCTATAGTGCCGCTAAAACGCAAGGAGCTACTGAGAATCGAAGAAAATGAGAATGGCGTTCGCGAGGAGAAAGAAACAAAAACAAAACAAAAAAAAAAAAAAAAAAGCATTCATGAAAACAGAACATGACGATTGATATATTTAAAGTTTTGAAGATTGTAGGTGGCCGGGAAGCAAGAAGCCGGTAGAGGGCTCCCCAGGCGAGAATAACACTTACGGCTGCCTCTATCTAGTTCAACAATAAAACGAGGTGACCTAGCTGTCAAACTAAATCTAAACAACCAATATTTACCTATTCTTGAACCAAGTAAATGCTTATGCAGTGGTTCCCAAACGGTGCGCCACACCTCATATATGCCGTGGAAGAGAATAGCAGGTGAGGCGGAAAAGGATAGCAGGTGAGGCGGAAGAGGATAGCAGGTGAGGCGGAAAAGGATAGCAGGTGAGGCGGAAGAGGATAGCAGGAGAGGCGGAAAAGGATAGCAGGTGATGTGGAAGAGGATAGCAGGTGAGGCGGAAAAGGATAGCAGGTGATGTGGAAGAGGATAGCAGGAGAGGCGGAAAAGGATAGCAGGTGAGGCGGAAGAGGATAGCAGGGGAGGTGGAAGAGGATAGCAGGTGAGGTGGAAGAGGATAGCAGGTGAGGCGGAAGAGGATGGCAGGTGAGGCGGACTGATTGAAAGAAAATCACAGATTTAGAAACAGTTTAAAAAAAATTCATTTGCCAAAAATAAATATGAGTTCAAAATTTAAAATATTATTGAGTACTTGTAATTGCATGCATGAGTCTCGGTATAAATAGTTATAAATAATTATTGACTGATTTTATCATTGTGATATTTTTGTATTATATCAATTATTAAAATAATAATAACTAGGGTCTGCAAATTGGAGGAGAGAGTTATCAATGATAATGTTCTAACTTCGAATCCGTGGTTATCTCCCTTCTTAACCCTCTCTCTTTTTTTTATTTTTAAATGTACTTTTTATCACATGAAATTTGGTGAGGCTCGAGCAAATTTTCATTCCGAAAATGCGGCCCAGAGAAAAAAAAGTTGGTGAGACACTAGCTTATACTCTTAAATGTAAATGACCAATATTAACCAATTCCCGAATCAAGTAAAAGCTTACACACTCAAATAAAAACGCCCAATATTTACATATCGTCAAGCCAAGTAAATTCTTATAGACTTGAATAAAATTGATCAATTTTTACCTATTCCCAAACCAAGTAAATGTTCATAGGTTCAAATGTAAACGATCAATTTGTACCTAACCCTAAACCAAATAAATCTTTATAGACTCGAATAGATTCCTGACCACTGACAATACCTTTCTCCCTCGCTTGTATTGTGTTTCTCTATCAATAGCCACCAACAATTTATTCATATTATATATATAATAAACTTATTCTGTCAGTAACCCTTGCATTAATTCCTGAACACAGATAATACCTTACTCGTTTTCATTGCGTTTGCATAGTAAAAATATTTTCTATACAGTTTTATAGTAAAATTACAAGCAACGTTATTCTGTAAGTTACGTTTGTATCATTATTAATCTTTAATATTAATATTAAGGATTAATATTTAATTTTATTATTGCATATTAATAACTTATTTAAATATTAATATTTAATATGGATATTAAATAGTACTAACAAAATGGCGTCCCTAAAGGCGCTATCTAGCTCGGTCGATAACCTATTTTACAGTGTCATGTTGAATGTGGCGTCTCTCAAAGTAGTAAAATTATATTGTGGCGCCTAACGCTATTCCGGCTCGGCGCGTGACTGTTTGCTTTGTTTTAGTATGGTTTGGTTTGGTTTGTTTTACGGCATATCAACATCAATGGATTATTTAATTGGATTTGAGATTTCATTTCTAGTAATATTTTTTTTTTCAAAAATGTATAGCTGGTAATATTTTTTTTTCAAAAATGTATAGCTGGTAATATTTTTTTTCAAAATGTATAGCTTGTCTTTATATTTCTGAGATGAGGTATTATATACATTATTAGGACTATTGTCCTCAACTTTGTCGCCATATTTATTACAACATTTCGGCCGTTGTAAGCTCTGGCCTTCTTCAGGTGGTTGGAATGTCGAACTGAACCCTTTAATTTGCTCACTGGGGTAGACTGTTCTAGTTCCACGTGCCATGTTTCCTCAAGGACACATGGCACAGTGGGTAAAGGCGTTAGTTAGATCCAGTAACAGGACCCAAAGAGTGTGAGTTCAATACCCGGTTAAGGCAGTGGAGAACTTGGAGAGGAGAATTAACAGGAGATAACTGACAACTGACATCCATTAAAAACATGGCACGTGGAACTAGAACAGTCTACCCCAGTGAGCAAAATAAAGGGATCAGTTCCTTTTTAGATGTTTTCTCAATCAATACAATTTTAATCTCTTAAAATCTACGGTTAGCCGTTGTCTATCCTACATATCCTCATAAACTGCACTTCTTACCTCATTTTCTAACGCTCGTACAACAACTTCGTTCAGTAACCCTCTACCTTGTGTGGCACTTGGGACTTGTACTGTATGAACAAGTGTAAAAAGAAAATATCCTTTAAGGTATGTTACGGCTAGGACCCGCCATGCTAAAGGCATTGTAGTGACACCACCCTCATTCCCATTGGTGAGATGTAAGTTTCACTCGAGCAGCTTCTTCCCGCGAACCGACTCCCAAGGGGGTATTTCCCTGATAACTTCAATCTTAAGCTTTTCAAATCTACAGTTAACCGTTATTTTCCCCACATATCCGCATAAACTGGGTACACTGTAATCATCTGCCTTGAGTGGCCTCCGGGCCTTGTACAGAATGAATTTCGCTGTAAAAAAAAAAAAAAATTCATTTTGAAGGTCTTGTGCGAAGGTCAGAGTCCAAGAGTTGAAGATGTTTGTTCGGTCAGGTGCCTAACTCGACTAATAGAACTTCTTTTTTTCTTTTTCTTTCTTTTTCTTTCTTTTTTTTTTATACGACAACTCGCTTTTGTCTAAGGTCAGATTGACAATGTACTGGGAAAACTTTTGTTATGACATACATGCCAAAAGATGTTTATTTTTAAATCTTTTGATGAAACATTTTTACGCTTGTTATTGGATTACGAGTTTTACTCCACCTTATTAGTGTTGCTTTCTTTGTTGAGGAGTGGGGTTCTGTACAATATTCCTTATTGATATGACAGTTGGCCCCTTTATCCACTGTAGCTATATTCCAAGATTTATAACAGATGACTGAAATCACTAATTGCACTGAACCTCCTATGCCCCCATATATATATATATATATATATATATATATATATATATATATATATATATATATATATATATATAATTTATGTGTGTGTGTGTGTGTGTAAAATGTTATATACATCACTACAAAAATAGCCATTTGACTTAAAACTTCTGGTGTTTTACTTAAAATGGTGTCTTATCAAGTGATGGTGCTGAACATTCAACACCATCATTTGATAAGACACCAGAAGTGTTGAAACAAAATGGCTATTTTTGTAGTGATTTTATAACATATTTATGTTATAATTTTCGAATAAATTATATTTACTCTACTCTGTATTGAGCACTCTTTTAAGAATAGTATTTTTTGGTTATTGTATTTTATTCCGTATACACCATATATATATATATATATATATATATATATGAAAAATTTCACAGAGTTAACCTGTAGAAAAGACAATATTTATTTTATAAATGACAATAGGAAAACTGTGCGTTTCGTCCAATGTGGACTTTCTCAAAGCAAAAAAACGAAATGAATTTAATTAAAGAAAGTAACTAATAATAACAAAAAACAGAATGTTCTTAGCAACAGGAGGAATGTAGAGAATGCTATTTTCATATTGTTAACTGAAAATAACGTCAGCTACTGTCACGTGTGGAGAATATTGTCATTCTAGCTGTGTGGACGGATTCAACCATTTTCTTTTGATTTTACGATATTGTGTACGTTTGTTTGGGAGAGCAGTAAATATATATGTGCGAAAAAAAGTATATATATATATATATATATATATATATATATATATATATATATATATATATATATATATCATATGGGCGGTATTTATTAGAAAGCGCTCGATAACAGAAATAGAGCTCACATTTAGTTGGATTGATGTGAGTTTGTGACCCTGTGTTTCACGCTTTTGGGATCGTTAGACAAAATCTGACGATCGCAAAAGCGTGAAACCAGTCTCACAAGCTCACATCAATCAAGTATATATATATATATATATATATATATATATATATATATATATATATATATATATATATATTTTTTAATACCTATACTCGATTGGTATAAAAAAATCCGGACAGTACAATTTGCAAATAAAAAACATGTTTAAACAAAACTGGTATCATGGGAAAAGTTTAAAAAAAAAAAAAAAAAAAAGAAAAAAAAAAAAAACATCCGAGTACGTCGAAAAAATCGCCTGTCGCCGTAATCCCTAGCTAAAAAGAAAAAAAAAAACAATAAAATAAGAAAATATATATATATATATATATATATATATATATATATATATATATATATATATATATAAAATTATGACTAAAATATGTTGTAAAATGGTTCCAACGATGAAAAGTCTTTGTATATTAAAAATAATAAAGAAAAGGAATATGTGGAGAGCCATGATCGTGTGCATCCTAAAGAGAGAAGAAGAACGCAATTCCGAACCATGGAGAAGGCAATGGGAAAGCATTCCACTATTTTTTCTCAGAAGATACGGCAATTCCCACATAATGAATAAAAGGAATGTGTGGAGAGCCATGATCATTTATAACCTTTTAAACTGATTTCCAAACCATAGAGAAGGCAACGAGAAACCACTCCACGCTCCTTTCCAAGAAATCAAGACAAATCGATGGTAATAAAGAAAAAGGAATCTGTGGAGAAGGCAACGGAAAAGCACTCCGCTATCTTTCACAAAATGTCATGGCAATTCAAAGTTATTAAAAAGAAAAAGGGATTCGTCGAGGGTCATGGATGTCTACGTCATAGTGGGGGTGGGGGGCGTGCGGAAATGGAGAAAAAGAAAAGTGCAAACTTCAAAGTGTAACCTAATTTAAATATTTATCTCATTACCCTAACTTCCTGTCGGCTACATTATCGTATCTCGCTGTTGTTATTTTACGCATGCGCTGAGGGTAGAACGAAATATTAGTTTCTCTTTAATATCCTGTTCCTATCAGAATGGAGTCCGTCATGACTTTCCACGGATTACCTTTCTTTATTATCTGGGAATTGTTATGTCTTCTTCTTTGGAGAAGATAGTGGAATGGTTTCTACCCGGTTCTGAATACGGTGTGAATATAAATACAATATACAGGTCATCCTAATATATTTGATAAATTAACGTAGTTTCCCTGTGTCTTTTCTATAAATATTTTCAAGGTAATTGTTCGGATGAGCTCCCTTCGACCATACGAACTTAAGCGCAGTACCAGATTGGCAGTTAGGTCTCATCATTTTACAGTTAAAGTGGCCAGATGTAACCATGCTAACAGTTTCTTCTCTCGCACTCCTTGCTTCTGAAACTCTCTTCAAAAATGTATTTTTACGTAAAATGAATAAAAATATACCCTTACAGAATAATTATTTTTACGTAAAATGAATAAAAATATACCCTTACAGAAAATATATTTTTACGTAAAATGAATAAAATTTATTTTTACGTAAAATTTATAAAATTTAATTTTACGTAAAATGCACAAAATATACCCTTACAGAAAATGTATTTTTACGTAAAATGAATAACATTTATTTTTACGTAAAATGTATAAAATTTATTTTTACGGAAAATGAATAAAAATATACCTTTACAGAAAATTTATTAGCAATGAATTTACATTATATAACATCGCTATACCGACAGTAACACCCGCATTAATTTCTGACTACTGACAATTCCTATCTTTCTATTTTTAAATGCATTTTATCGTAAGATTAATTACCATATAGTAAATTTTCTAACGATGCATTTTCATTATATATATAATAGTCGTATTTACTCAACATTAATTCCTGAGCAACTGACAGCACCCCCCTTTGGTATTTTCAATGTGTTTTTATCGTAAAAATAATTGCAATCCATTCCTTTATTAAAATTATTAGTAATTTACATTATGCATGTAATCGTTCTATTTTGTCTGTAATAGTCGCATTAATTCCTGACTACTAACCATTCCTATCTTCCTGATTTTCAATGCTTTTCTCTGTGAAATTAAGTAATATACATCCCTATAGTAAATGTTTTTGCAATGCATCTACATGTGACAAATATATTCAGTCATCAATTCCTGATGCTCGACAATTATATTCTTTCAGGGTTACAACGTATTTTTATTGCAAAATTAGTTGCAATGCATTCCTGTAGCAATATTAGTAATGTATTTACATTATCCTATTATAACTGTTCTTGTCCAGCCCTTCGCGTGTTAGCACGACCGTTACGTCTTGTCAATGTTTTGATTGCGTAGAAAAACAAAAGAGGTGAATAAAAGAAAGAAAGAAGGGAAGATAGATTGTTATTGGAATATTTTGTTAAAGTTGAGCTCAAATATTTTAATGATGCGATAGGAGAATTTTTTACGGATATTTTATTTTTATATTCAGTCACCAACTTAAGATTCAGCAGAAAATGAAAATAGGAAAACCGTGAAATTTTCGCGGGTCTTTCTAGTGCGTATCAGTAATATTTGCATTAGATTCTGGTCATAGAGAATCTTTTCTTTCTGAGTTTTAATGGTTTTTTTATCCTAAAATTAATCTAAATGCATTCCTATTAAATTATTAGCAGTTTATATTATACATATAACAGCGTTGTACTTCTAGTGATGCTTGCACAGTTCCTGACCACTGACAATAACTTTCTTCCTGATTTTAATGCATTGCTATAGTACTATACTTTCTCGAAAATAATACGCCCCCATAAATAATACGTACCCCAACAAATGAACGAAAAATAACGAAATATATCTATCCCTATGCATAATATGCATCTATAAATTTTTTAAAGAAAAAAAAAAAAAATAAAATAATTACGAAGACATTTTGTCGACCTTGACATTAAAAATAAAATCGAAACTAAGCGACCAAAATAATGTTAAAAATTACCAGGCGGTTTTCCCGATAAATACAACATTTTATTTTACCGCCAAAATGTCGTCAAAAACGTGCGAGTTATAGTGCAAATTTTAAACAAAAAGTAACAGAATTGGAAGAAAGAAAAGAAAACAGATATGCAGCTGGCGAATATGAGTTGAATGAGGCTAACGTTTATTTATGGAGAAAGAATAAAATTGAACTAAAAAAAGTGTAAATCAAGTGCCAAAACTATAGGTAGAGGAAGAAAAGCTCAATATCGAAATATTGAACAAAATTCAGTTGAATTTGTGAAAGACAGACGATCAAGTGGAAGTTCCATAAGTTCTTCGAAATTGGCCTTTTTTTTTTCGATAAATCTTTTATTTTTTCGCCAAATAAAAAATGAGGTTACTGATAAATATAAATTTATTGACAAAACAATGTTATAATTATTATTGTATTTAAAATGAAATTTGGGATAATATCTTTCTTACTTTAGAACAACAATTACGTATTTATTATTATAAATCAGTAACGAAAAAAATATTTTTGTTTAAACCAATTTATAATACTCACCCCTACTATCACCTGTAATTTACTGTAAAAGATGCGTATTATTTTCGAGAAATTACGGTATTATTAATTGTGCATATAATATATATATATAAAGACATTTTTATGTTTATACATTCTTTTTTATGGATGCAAATATTCAAGTAAATGCTCTGTTTATAATAAACAGTATTAAACAACATTTACCGGCCCGAATGTCTGAGAAATTGTCATAAAAAATATGCGTCCTCCGACAGGAATCAAACCTGTATCCTGTGTCATATAGCCTGACGTGCTTTTACCGATTCCGCCACAGACGAGCGTTTCGATTAGGAAGGTCGATTTTACTGGTTTTAAACTACAATCTTCCATGATTCTCTCACGTACATTCATATCTGCTCAATGCGTATCAAAATGTAAACAAATGACGTCACACATTATGAAATGGACAAAGTCCGACAATTATTTTAAGACATTTTTATGTTTATATATATATATACACACACACACACACACAAACAAACACACATATACACACGCACACACACACACACATATATATATACACACATATACACGCGCACACACACACACACACACATATATATATAATATAATATAATAGCTCTAATCTGTCATTAAAGTTTACCTTAATTTCTGATTCTGCTCGTAATGAATTTTGTCTTTTTGCTCTCTTTCCTAATACCTGTTCTGCAGGCTCCTCCTCCTCCCGTTCTTCTTCTTCTTCTTCTTCTTCTTTGTGCCAAGTCCCTTCAGATGTGGGCGATCATGACTGGCCATAATTTATTGTCCATTGTAGCTCTTAGCAAATTTTGTCTCCGCTATCTCTCCTAAACCCAAGTTCTGCCAACCATTTATTTACGCAGGCGCACTGATTATGCTATGCGTTGTTTTCATCCGTTTCTCTTGTCTTCAATCTGTCCGGAGAGCGTCAGATTCTTTGTAAATTCTGTCTTTTTGTTATCTCTCCTAAACCTTGTTCCGCCATCCATTTACTCAAGTTCCGAACTAGGAAGATTATCGGAATATAAAGAAAAGCACAGGGTGTGGCAGCGTACAACGGGGTCAAACAAGAAGAAGATCTAGACTGGAAAAGTAAAGATAGATAGAGAGAGATAGAGAGAGAGGAGAGAGAGAGAGGAGAGAGAGAGAGAGAGAGAGAGAGAGAGAGAGAGAGATCTCAGTTTTCCAACACGGTCCGCCGACAGCATTTTCCAGACACGACATAATACTGATGATGTTCATCCCAAACAAACAAACCTTTTCCTGTTTATTTCAAAGCGTTTCTATACTTTCGTTTGAAATATTTCTTCTATCTTTGTCTTTGAATAGCAATAGGAGAACTAAGTTAAATTTTTATTTTTATTGGCTAAGCCGAATGGATTTTTTCGGCAAACGAAGATCAAGCAATCCTCAACCCACCACTCCTCGCACGAAGAAGAAAAATGATTTCGTGAGAAAAAATGTAAATAGCACTGAATTGTTACGTAATATCACTCTGCTGGACAATCTCCTCACAGATGAAGAAAGAAAGAAAGAAAATACGCAGATAAATAAAACTCTGAAGCAACAGAAACAAAGAAAGAGTACTGAGCTGTTACGTAATATTAGTCCTCCTATATGGCAGAGAATGCTGGACAATCTCCTCACAGATGAAGAAGAGACTTGAAGCAACAGAAACCAAGAAAAGAATACTGAACTGTTACGTAATATCAGTCCTCCTATATGGCAGAGAATGCTGGACAATCTCCTCACAGATGAAGAAGAGACTTGAAGCAACAGAAACAAAGAAAAGAGTACTGAACTGTTACGTAATATCAGTCCTCCTAACTGGCAGTGAATGCTGGATAATCTCCTCACAGATAAAGAAGAGACTTGAAGCAACCGAAACAAAGAAAAGAGTACTGAACTGTTACGTAATATCAGTCCTTCTATATGGCAGTGAATGCTGGGCAATCTCCTCACAGATGAAGAAGAGATTGATCAAACATTAATTGATTCGCTTTCTGTAGCTTATGAAACCTTTGCAGGTTATTTAAAGCCAGAAAATATTTTAAGATTGTAATTTTTTCGTGGGTTTAGGATAGAGATAATAATCATCTAGTCATACATGCCTTACGAATTAATCAATAGTTGGGGAGGGGAAGAGGTGCATTCATGCCTTTCCCAAGGTTATTTGTGCGCAAGTAAATACAACGAACCCAACTCGAATTGGACTGATTAAGAATTCCGAGCAATTATGCAGTACATCGCCCGCAAATGCAAGCTTACAGAACCTGTTATTCGCAAGCAGTCACCCATTTAGGTAGCTCGACGTTGCTTAACTTCGATAATCGTACCAGAACCAAGATTTCAACGCGATATGACCGTAAGCTTTGATGAAACAGCCACTGCGTAACATCTTGATTATGCCATTAATTTCAACCAGTCACCCACTTAGGTAATGACTAGAGATAACGTTGCTTAACTTCGATGATCGTACGGGAATCAAGATTTCATGGTGATATGACCGTAAGTTTTGATCAAACAGTCACTGCGTAACATCCTGATTATGCCATTAATTTCAACCAGTCACTCACTTAGGTACTGACTAGGCACAACGTTGCTTAACTTCGATGATCATACAGGATCAAGATGTCATCGCGATATGACCGTAAGTTTTGATCAAACAGCCACTGCGTAACATCTTGATTATGTCATTAATTTCAACTAGTCACCCACTTAGGTACTGACTAGGCACAACGTTGCTTAACTTCGTTGATCGTACAGAATCAAAATGTCATCGCGATATGACCGTAAGTTTTGATCAAACAGCCACTGCGTAACATCTGATCTTGATTATTTGTAGTCACCCATTAATTTCGTTGCTTAACTTCGATGACCATACAGGATCAAGGTACTGACTCAAACAGCCACTGGTAACAACGTTGTCATTAATTTCTTAACTTCGTTGATCGATGACCATACAGGATCAAGATGTCAGGATCAAGATGCCATCGCGATATGACCGTAAGGTTTGATCAAACAGCCACTGCGTAACATCTTGATTATGTCATTAATTTCAACTAGTCACCCACTTAGGTACAGACTAGGCACAACGTTGCTTAACTTCGATGACCATACAGGATCAAGATGTCATCGCGATATGACCGTAAGTTTTGATCAAACAGCCACTGCGTAACATCTTGATTATGTCATTAATTTCAACTAGTCACCCACTTAGGTACTGACTAGGCACAACGTTGCTTAACTTCGATGACCATACAGGATCAAGATGTCATCGCGATATGACCGTAAGTTTTGATCAAACAGCCACTGCGTAACATCTTGATTATGTCATTAATTTCAACTAGTCACCCACTTAGGTACTGACTAGGCACAACGTTGCTTAACTTCGTTGATCGTACAGGATCAAGATGCCATCGCGATATGACCGTAAGGTTTGATCAAACAGCCACTGCGTAACATCTTGATTATGTCATTAATTTCAACTAGTCACCCACTTAGGTACTGACTAGGCACAACGTTGCTTAACTTCGTTGATCGTACAGGATCAAGATGCCATCGCGATATGACCGTAAGGTTTGATCAAACAGCCACTGCGTAACATCTTGATTATGTCATTAATTTCAACTAGTCACCCACTTAGGTACTGACAACGGCACAACGTTACAGGATCTTGCCATTCGTTGATCGTACAGGATCGTAACAGATGCCATCGCGATATGACCGTAAGTTTTGATCAAATCATGCCATCGCGATATGACCGTAGGTTTGATCATGCGTAACATCTTGATTATGTCATTAATTTCAACTAGTCACCCACTTAGGTACAGACTAGGCACAACGTTGCTTAACTTCGTTGACCATACAGGATCAAGATGTCATCGCGATATGACCGTAAGTTTTGATCAAACAGCCACTGCGTAACATCTTGATTATGTCATTAATTTCAACTAGTCACCCACTTAGGTACAGACTAGGCACAACGTTGCTTAACTTCGTTGATCGTACAGGATCAAGATGCCATCGCGATTTGACCGTAAGGTTTGATCAAACAGCCACTGCGTAACATCTTGATTATGTCATTAATTTCAACTAGTCACCCACTTAGGTACTGACTAGGCACAACGTTGCTTAACTTCGATGACCATACAGGATCAAGATGTCATCGCGATATGACCGTAAGTTTTGATCAAACAGCCACTGCGTAACATCTTGATTATGTCATTAATTTCAACTAGTCACCCACTTAGGTACAGACTAGGCACAACGTTGCTTAACTTCGTTGACCATACAGGATCAAGATGTCATCGCGATATGACCGTAAGTTTTGATCAAACAGCCACTGCGTAACATCTTGATTATGTCATTAATTTCAACTAGTCACCCACTTAGGTACTGACTAGGCACAACGTTGCTTAACTTCGTTGATCCATACAGGATCAAGATGCCATCGCGATATGACCGTAAGGTTTGATCAAACAGCCACTGCGTAACATCTTGATTATGTCATTAATTTCAACTAGTCACCCTTAGGTACTGACTTAGGCACAAGGTTTATGTCATTAGATCATCGCGATATGACTTCGAGTTACATCAAATGCTATCCATTTTAGTTGTTTAATTTGCTGTCACCTGTTGAGCATCAGTTCATTAAGTTCGATGATCATACAGGAATAAGTCATATCTATGGCCGTAACACTTGATTCATTCGCTCGATGTCGTTTTTTAATCGATGATACAGGATCAAGATGAGAAGTAGTTTTTGATATAACATCTTTTGAGAGTTACGTCATTTCTGAAAGGGTCAGGCGCCTTTCCGGGCATCTATATAAAAGTCTTTACTTTTGCCGCATCTTGAAGTGTTGGATAAAACTATCCCTAGCATAGGCTATATTGTGTTCAATTACTTTATCGCCTGTACTAAAATTGGTATAACTGATCCATATATTTTTGTTTTTGTTTTTGTCAATGTTTGTTTGTTCATCATCCCACGTAGATTGAATACGGCAAATTTTTTTGGGGGGGGAAATTTACATTCATGTGACTGTGGACTGCCATTTGTTCATTCTCACACTTGAACGTAATTTCAACTAGTATTTGACCACAACGTTGTTAAATGGGAAGGATCAAGATGTCATCGCGATAACCGTAAGGACAGGAAGCAAACATTGTTCATCTTCGTTGCTAGTTCATTTCAGAACGCCTAAAACATCAGTTACTGAAACTTGACCTTCTTCTTATTACAGGATCAATGGAAGAAGTTTTGATCAAACAGCCACTGCGTAACATCTTGATGTTGATGACCCCCATCGTTCGTAACTTCGATGACCATAGGATAATGTCCGTTCCAAATTTTGATCAAAAGGCCATTTGTGTCCGTGGAACTTCACCCATACTGACTAGGCACAACGTTGCTTAACTTCGTTGAAAAGGAAAACATGATCCAGTCCCCTTAGCACAGAGGTCTTTTGCTTCAGTACCTGATGCAAGGATTGTTAATATCTACCATTTCGTTGTTTAATGCTGTTGGAGCACAGTTCCAATTGAAGTTAACAAGTCTATCTTGGTGACGATTCATTAAATGATGTCGTTTTTTAATTATTGTTTATTTCGTCAGACCATTAGCATTTGGGTACTTTTTGCCGCATCTTGAAGTGTTGGATAAAATTCAATTAATTTTTACCTTTAAAAGTTCGTATATTTTTTGTTTTTGTTTTTGTCCGTTCTCAGAAAGAATGAAAGGTCTAAATGTGACAGATAAACTCATGGCTAGTTTTGCTGTACAAAAAATGAGTTCAGTAGTCTTAAGAACTCTTGGAATGATAATGACTCTTCTCAAAATGATAGAAGGTAGACATAGAATGGATTGACTACAAAAAACTTTTGTGGTACCAACAAAAGTAACAATACAAAGAATGAGTTCAATAGTCTGAAGAACTCTTGGAATGATAATGAATCTTCTCTAAAATGATAGAAGGTAGACCTAGAATGGATTGACTGAAACATTATGGTAACAAGTTCGTAAAAAGCAATACAAAGAATGAGTTCAATAGTCTGAAGAACTTTTGGAATGATAATGACTCTTCTCAAAATGATAGAAGATAGACATAGAATGGATTGACTGAAACATTGTGGTAACAACAAAAGCAATACAAAGAATGATTTCAATAGTCTGAAGAACTCTTGGAATGATAATGACTCTTCTCAAAATTATAGAAGGT